GTCTAACCTTAGAAAGTACACAACCCAGTAAGGGAGTGTTGTGTTTTTTTTGGTTTTTTTGAGACAGAGTCTCACTCTGTTGTCTGGGCTAGAGTGAGTGCTGGGGCATTAGCTTATCTCACAGCAACCTCAAACTCCTGGGCTCAAGCCATCCTCCTGCCTCAGCCTCCCTAGTAGCTGGGACTATAGGCATGCGCCACCATGCCCGGCTGATTTTTTCTATATATTTTTTAGTTGGCCAATTAAGTTCTTTCTATTTTTAGTAGAGACAGGGTCTCACTCTTGCTCAGGCTGGTTTTGAACTCCTGACCTTGAGTGACCCTCCCGCCTTGGCCTCCCCTGTTAGGGAATGGGCCTCAAAGCTCCAATGTTTCGATCAAATATAGATCAAATTTTTATTCATTTTTGCATCTAACATAACACTTAGCAAAGAACAAATTATCAGTAAACATATGCTAGGATTACAGGCGTGAGCCACCACGCTCGGCTGGGAGTGTTTTTTTTTAATGTGGTTAAATATAGTATTGTCTGATCAGTGCTATAAAAAAGGCATTAATGGCCGGGCGCGGTGGCTCACGCCTGTAATCCTAGCACTCTGGGAGGCCGAGGCGGGCGGATTGCTCGAGGTTGGGAGTTCGAAACCATCCTGAGCGAGACCCCGTCTCTACTAAAAATAGAAAGAAATTAATTGACCAACTAAAAATATATATACAAAAAACTAGCCGGGCATGGTGGCACATGCCTGTAGTCCCAGCTACTTGGGAGGCTGAGGCAGGAGGATCGTTTGAGCCCAGGAGTTTGAGGTTGCTGTGAGCTAGGCTGACGCCATGGCACTCACTCTAGCCTGGGCAACAAAAGTGAGACTCTGTCTCAAAAAAAAAAAAAAATAAAAAAAAAAAATAAAAAAAAAAGGCATTAATGGTGTCCTATGGTATAGATTCTCCCTGGACCATCAGCAGCATCACCACTTGGGAACTTGTCAGAAATGTAAGTTCTTGGGTCCCACCTAACACCTACAAAATCAGAAACTGTAGGTGGCAAAGCATTCTGTGTTTTAACAAGCTGTCCAGATAACTACTGCATGCTAAAGTTTGAAAATCTCTGTTCTTTGTGACTGGAAGAAAGGACTAATTGATTTCACCTGGACTAGTTTTACAGCTGTGATAACAATTGATTTAGGCCTTTGAGGAATAAATAAGATTTCATCAGGTAGAAAAAGAAAGGAATGATATTCCAAATATGGGGAACACCATGAGCAAAGCTAAAAAATAAGTATGTAGAATGTTTAGAGAACTGCATATACTTCAGTGTGGCTAGAGCATAGGCTTTATATGGCAGGTTATTAAAGATAAAGATGGATAGGGTACAATTTTGGGGGCGTTGGGTTTAGACCAGTGTTTCCAAAGTTTGTCTTCAGATTGGAATATGTAGGAAACTTAAAAACCAGCCCATGTCTCCTCCTTGTAGAGATTTAATTGTTGTGGGGTATGGCCTAGAGTTGAGAATTTTTAAAAGATCTCCAGATGGTTCTAATGTTCAGACTAGTCTGGGAACTACTGGCTTAGGCTATTCTGTACATTAGGAAAGGTTTTTTAGCACCAGAGTGACATGATCTGATTTATGTTTTAGGACAATAATCGGTGAAGGGAAATAGAATAGAAATAGGGCAACCTGCTTATCCTTCACTTAGATAAGTTGTCCTTTAGGAAGCCTTCATAACTATCTTGTTGTTCTCAAGTCCAAGTTAAATGCCTTTCTTGTGTGCTTATATAGCAGTGTTTCCCTTATCTTTGTACCTGTTACACTATTGTAATTCTTGTATAATAATGGAGAATGTTATAGAATAAATTCAGAAGGAGACAACAAATTCAGTTTTGTGTAGGGTTTGAGGCAGTTGGAAATAGAAATTACATCTAAGATTGGGGTAGAGATAAGGATTCAGGATTCAGTAGTGTCTGAATCAGTTGTTCCATCATGGTAGTACATTAAATCACCTGCGAAACTTTTTTCTTTTTTTTGAGACAGAGTGTTACTCTGTCACCCTGAGTAGAGTGCTGTGGTGTCAGCCTAGCTCACAGCAACCTCAAACTCTGGGCTCAGGTGACCCTTCTGCCTTAGCCTCACGAGTAGCTGGGACTACAGGTGCACATCATCACGACTAGCTAATTTGTCTATTTTTAGTAGAGATGGGGTATTGCTCTTGCTCAGGCTAGTCTTGAATTCCTGACCTCAATCAATCCTCCCTCTTCGACCTCCTAAAGTGGTAGGATTACAGGCGTGAGCTACCTCGCCCAGCCACCTAGGGAACATTTTTAAAACATTCCCAGTGCATGGGTCTACTTTAGACCAATTAAATCATAATCTCTGAGGAAGGAGAGACTAGCCATCAGTACCTTTTAAAAACACTTTAGGACATGATTCCATTGTGCATCACAGTTGAGGTCCACTGGTAAAGGTTAAGGGAATAATGTAGAACCAGAAAGGAGGGGTTTTACAGTCAGAATCTGGACAGATACCAACTGAGGGATATCAACATTGAAGAGTAAATTGAGGAATAAAGCCAGTGAAGGAGACCTTTTGTGGACCAGGACACTGAGTTCTTTGGTGTCCCAATTCTCTTATTGTAAGACTCTAGTGTTGTATCCACTTCTGGATACATGATTTCTAGGTGTCACTATATTTCCAATAGAACCTACATTAATCTGCTTCTGCTTCTGGAATTTTGCAGCAATTCACTTGTTTCCCACTTCCCATCTACCTGTCCACTAAAACTAAACAAAATTGATCTAACCAAATTTGATTCTCTAGCAGCCTATAAATTACTCCTGATATTAAACAACAAGAGGATCCCAAGGATAATGGTTCCCAAATCTGTTCACATTTGTAATTTACCCAAAGCCCAATTTTTTTCCAGTTCATATTCAATCTTTTTTTTTTGAGACAGTCTTATTCTGTTGCCTGGGCTAGAGTGCTGTGGTATCAGCCTAGCTCACAGCAACCTCAGACTCCTGGGCTCAAGCAATCCTTCTGCCTCAGCCTCCCAAGTAGCTGGGACTACAGGCATGTGCCACCAGGCTGGGCTAATTTTTTCTACATATTTTTAGTTGTCCAGCTAATTTCTTTCTATTTTAAGTAGAGACGGGGTCTCCCTCTTGCTCAAGTTGGTCTTGAACTCCTGAACTCAAACGATCCACCCACCTTGGGCTCCCAGAGTGCTAGGATTACAGGCATGAGCCACCATGCCCGGCCTCATGTTCAATCTATTTTTATGTTGGACTTACGGTGTAATATAGCAGCAATAAATGGGGTTTCCCACTGGGCAGAAGTACCTGATAGTTTTTCTTACTTTTATTTTCTTCTTCCTCTGCCCCCTTTCTTCCAATTATAATAGTCATGTCTCTACTTCCTTATTTCCTATTGTGTTTGTGACTTAGTTTTTGCATGTAGTAAAAGGATAGGGTAAGCAGGATTGGGACCATATATATAAAAAATTCCAGGAATGGAGAGTAGCAGCAGAAGGTACCTCCATACCTCCTTAGGACCAACTGATGAGTGGTTGAAAAGGAAAAGACAAATTGCAGATTCAAGTCAGAGCTCTCAGGAGCACAGGGTTTAGGTTGGTTATAGAATAAGGCCCAGTGTCGGCCGGGCGCAGTGGCTCATGCCTGTAATCCTAGCGCTCTGGGAGGCTAAGGCGGGCGGATTGCTCGAGGTCAGGAGTTCGAAACCCGCCTGAGCAAGAGCGAGACCCCATCTCTACTATAAATAGAAAGAAATTAATTGGCCAACTAATATATATAGGAATAATTAGCTGGACATGGTGGCACATGCCTGTAGTCCCAGCTACGCAGGAGGCTGAGGCAGTAGGATCACTCGAGCCCAGGGGTTTGAAGTTGCTGTGAGCTAGGCTAATGCCATGGCACTCACTCTAGCCTGGGCAACAAAGCAAGACTGTCTCAAAAAAAAAAAAAAAAGAGGCCCAGTGTTGTCTTAGTTCAGTGAGAACAAAGAGGTGAGTTTGAGTTAGGGGAGTTATCAATCCAACGTGAGAAGCTGCATTGCAAAGAATTGGGTGAGCAGGAAAGAAATATACTGAGCTCAATTTTATAGACACTTATAAAATTAATATTCATAAAACAGGGTTTTCTGCCTTCAGGGATTTTTAATGAGGGAGACATTTATATAAATAACTAACAGAATAGAGGAATGAAATAATTGCTGAATAGATGTACAATAAAATGTTTTCTCTAGGAAGATAAAATTTTTTGGAGAGGTGGTATCTGGGCATGGCATCAAAACAATGAGAAAAATTTCAGAATGTTGGCAGCTAGGGAATGGGGCTTGCATTCTAGGCTGAGGAAACAGCATGAGTATTAAAGAATGTTTAGGGAGTAGTCAGCAAAGCACTGTGGTTAGGGTACATGGAAAAATGATAAGTCAGGCTATTATTTTCATGCTCCCATTTGTATCACTGTTGTGATAAGGGCCACCTCTTTTCCTGTATTTAGGTAGTCCCAGAGATCTTTCAGACATACAGACTTCCACCATATCAGTTCATAAACACAATAAAGATGAAACTACATTCTCTACTAAGGACCAAGTAGGAATCACCTAGTGATTTTGTTCCTGTTACAAATGGTTCACCCCATTTGAAGTTCCTGAAACTCCTCCTTGGTAGAGAATGACTGCCATAGAGAGCCAGCAGTTTTATGAGACTGTGTCATATCCCTCAGGTGTGTTGTGGTAGAAAAAAGTTTGAGAACATAATCCTGACCATCAGCTCTCCAAAAGCAAGGATCATGTAATTAATTGTTTTTTTATTTCCTTACAAATTCTTATTGGGGCTCCAAAAGTAGGCGGTTAATGCTATATTGCCACTATTTCTTACTGCAATTTTTATAAACACCAATTGTTTGGCCAGTTGACTTCTCACCATTTGTGAAACTGAAAAGAATAATAATGAGCCCAAGCTTCTAACCTTATTGCCTGCCTTTACACAGAATCCTCACCATGGATGGACTCATTGAGGACATCAAGCGTCGGCGTTACTATGAGAAGCCGTGCCGTCGGCGACAACGAGAAAGTTATGAAACCTGCCGGCGGATCTACAACATGGAAATGGCTCGAAAGATCAAATTCTTGATGCGAAAGAATCGGGCAGATCCATGGCAGGGCTGCTGAGGCCTGTGGATAGGATGCCCAATATGAAAACCCTTGTCCAGTTTGTGTCTCCACCTATTTTCTTTCTACAATCCATTTTCTGTTACCTTTCTCTACAATAAATTCAATTACATATATGAAAGAAGCAATCCCATTAGTCAGGAATGGACCTTCTATTTTATTAGGTGAGAAAAGAAACTGAGTCCAAAAATAGGTAGGAGTCTAGGTAGGAGTAGAATGGTGTTCGCCAGGGGCTGGGAGAGGAAGCAATGGGGACTTATTATCTAATGGATACCGAATTTCAGTTTGCAAAGTTGAAAAAGTTATGGCAATGGATGGCAGTGATGGTTGCAAAAAATGTGAACGTATTGCACTTAATACCACTGAAATCTTTAAGATGGTAATTTTAGAAATTAGCTAGGTGTGGTGGTGCATGCTTATGGTCCCAGCTACTTGGGAGGCTGAGGCAGAAGGATAACTTGAACCAGGAGTTTGAGGTTGCCTTGAGCTATGATGATGCCACTGCACTCTAGCCCAGGTGACACAGAAAGACCCTGTCTTCAAGAAAAGGTAAATTTTATGCATATTTTGGTACAATAAATAATTTGTTCTAAGTCTAGGAGAGGTGATGAAATTTTCTAAAATATAGTGAATTATAGTTACCATTTCCTATCCAATTTTGTGAACCCCAAATCAGACTCTTACTGGAAGAGCAGCTGTTACTCTTTACTAAACTACGCCTCCTTCCAATTGTTAGGTAAAGAGGAGAGGATGCATGTGCATTGAGATACCTATCAGCCAGACTAGGGTGCCTAAAGGAATCCTTAGGATGAATCTAACCTAATATTCATTCCTGTTTTTTGTTTTTCCTTTAGATTTCCTAAAGGAGGCTTAAGGGAGGGATGGCAGTGAAGAAATAAAGCAGTAGATGGATAGTAGGAAAGAGGAAAAGGGAGAATGTTGAGAAAAGAAGGGCACAGAACCAGAAATACCCTACAGCATTGGTTCTCAGAGTGTCCTCAGATCAGCAACGTCAACAGCATTTGAGAAATTGTTTGAAATGCAGATTATGTGACCCTACTTTAGATATTCTATATTGGAAGTTGAGGTTGGAGCCCAGCAATCTATTTTAACAGGCCTTGTAGGTGACGCTGATGCCTGCTAAAGCCTGAGAACCACTGCCCTATATGTACTCAAAGAGATTTCAAATGAAGGTTCCCACCACCACTACATCTCCCCCAGCATGCACTCTTGGGTATGTTACTCTGATAGCTGGGAGCATCTGACCACCCTGGGAAGACCAGCTGCTCTGCTTTCTCTCTTGCTGTCTGTTTCCTCCAAACCTGGTCCCCTGACAGTCATGTTGCTAGTATAAAGAGAGTTGGCGCCAACCCCTGTAGGAGAACGCAGAGGGAAGGCGGAGGCAGCTAGCCCACTTCTCCTCAGGCTGCAGCCCTCTCAGCATGGTGTTAAAAAAGGAAATAAACAGAGCAGAGCAGTCTGCCAAGCCGCCTACTGCTCCAGATTGCTAGTGTTCAAATATTGCCCCCTTGTGGTTTAGGAAACTAGCTTCGGATTTCTGGCCTTAATTCAGCCTTAAATATGGTATCTTTTCTTCCTTTCACAATTAACATAGTGATTGATTAAGCAAGGCCTACAAGACGGTATGCTGGAACCACATGGTCCTTACCTTTCAGAGTTTGATCATTCTCTTCCATCAGCAGTGAGGCCCAGTGAATGTTACTGGACTCTCCATGGAATTGCTTAGAAATAGATCTGCTCCTTGCCCTCTAGAATCTTATATTATGGTTGGAGAAAATCTATATAACGGCTGTCGTCTTTGTTACTTTTTTTTTTTTTTTTGAGACAGAGTCTCACTTTGTTGCCTAGGCTAGAGTGAGTGCCGTGGCGTCAGCCTAGCTCAGCAATCTCAAACTCCTGGGCTCAGGCTAGCCTCCTGCCTCAGCCTCCTGAGTAGCTGGAACTACAGGCGTGAGCCACCATGCCCAGCTAATTTTTTGTTTCATTTTTAGTTGACTGGCTAATTTTTTTTTCTATTTTTAGTAGAGAAAGGGTCTTGCTCTTGCCTAGGCTGGTCTCGAACTCCTGAGCTCAAGCAGTCCTCCTGCCTCGGCCTCCCAGAGCTAGGATTACAGGCATGAGCCACCATGCCCGGCCTAATTTGTTACTTTTATACAACCTTTCACAAGTTAACAAGTTATATTATTTCAGAATCACCCTTCAGTCTGAATTGTGGTTATCACTTTTGGATGATTTTGAGTCATAGTGTCACCTCCTGCCACAGAAGTAGGATATGTTTGTGATAGCAGAACCTGTTACTTGGCAATACTTCCCTTGGGGCTAGAGTTGCTTCTGAGCTCTGTCTAAAAACTAAGGGGTGGCTGAGATCTGGAATTTACTTAGTCTCTGAAAATTATCCTAATCTCTAGTCCTGACTATTGCCCATGCTCTCCCAGAGCAGTGAATAATGATGAGGTTTAGCAGACAGCCAGCTGAGAGGCCTCATAAATGGGGAGGAGGGGAGCATGGCTGACTGGCTAAAGTTCCAATTTACCTATGCTGTGAAGGTAGGGAGGAAAACCCTCTACTCCCCACCCCAGAGAACTAGAAGATAACTGCATGTGGTTTAATAAGTCAAGGTTGCTTTAATCCTTTGATCCTTGCATTGGTTTCAGAGGAGGGGTGGTTTAGTGTTTACTCAGTTATAGGGTGATAAATAAGTGCCTCCTATCCTGATCTTGAGCACCTGGGAAATCTCTTAGCAGTTCACTGAAACGCCTCTGGAAGGCCTGCTTCAATCATAATTTAAATATCTTAAAATACATTCTGGAAACAGGTACCCCTTTAAAATTGGGATTCTTGAGTAACTTTCGCATTGTACTTTCAAGTTTTCAGACGTTTGCTAAGTGTGAAATACTTTAACTGAAAATATTAAGGAAAAATGGCTCACTGTATGGGGACAAGATAAAGGAATAATGAAGTGATGTGTTAACATCTTTTGGACCGCTCACGAGTTTTCTGAAATCTGTCCAGCCCTTCCCCGGGGGGTGCAAGGAGAGCACCTTGTAAAGATCCACCCAAAATGTTGTCAGGTGATATGAAGCAGCATGAACCTACGTGTATTCCAGCGAGTGGAAAGAAAAGATTTCCTACGAGAGCCTGCAGATTTTGTTGTTTTTTTTTTTTTTTTTT